CTTTAACCAATTGAGCTACCGCGTCGTATACGTTATCGTAAATTTTTTTGAACTGCAGGCACCTCTCGCGCAATGTAGTTTAGCAAATTTTTATTAAACTTAACAGTTGCTAAGGTTACCCCGTGGTCTCCCCGTGACCACGGCTGCTGCAAAGCATCCGAAACGTCGGGCCGAAGTTAAAAATCATTTTCAAATAAGTTTAACTAATATATCGCGTTTTAAACCGTTAAAGTGTTTTCTTTAAATGTGTACTACTCGCGTAAACTATAGACAGTATTTAAACTATAAACAGTATTTAGTTGCTAAGGTTGTTAAAAGTGTTTTATTTATCACTTGTTGCTTCAGCGACTTCGTCCGCGTGGAATAGTTATTTTGGGCATCCCAATTTGTTGCTTGTAAACCTATTCTTCATCTTTATAAATTCAAGCTGTTAGCCGTGACGTCGATCGCATCCCTTCCCGTCGCTCTTGCAAGTTACTCTTAAAAGATAGACATATAACGTTGCGGTCGCTGTTTTTAGATCATTTAAAGAAGAATGAATGTTTTAGGTATCTTGTACTTTATCTTCGCTTGTATAAGTCACAGCGCGTGTTGATATGTGACAGATGTTTTATAGCCTTCCTCGATAAATGCTCTAACCGACACAAAAATAATTTTTCAATTGGAACGTTCGTAGTTTCTGAGATAAGCGCGTTCAAACAAACAAACTGTTCAGCTTTAAATATTAGTATAGATGTTTGTCATCCATTCCAACCCTATTGCATCTATATTTTACGTTAGTTTATATTCTACTAAAACTACAAATTCTATATTGAAGATATCTGTAAATATACTCGTGGGAACGCACTTACTAGATTAGAGAAAAATTGAGTTAAGATGCTGCGAGGGCTGGTCCGTTTCAATGACATTATTACTCTAGGCCTGGGGAAATACATAAATAGAAACTTGTAACCGACGTCTCCATATGTACATATCTATCTACTTAATCGATCAAAACATCTGTAAACGGTATCACAAAATACTTATGAATGGTTTTTTTTCTGTTACTAAAGAAGAACGAAGAAAAAAAACTATTTATTTCAACATATTAACATCCCCCCAGCTGGCTACTGGTCTAGCATAAGAGGGGGAGATTTTTTATTTAATATCATATTTTTAACTTACATAAAACTAATAAAAGTTAAGATTGCAATAAATTTACCACAAGGGCTTGAATCGGTATCGACAGCGTTCGGTTCTGCTGCTGTAACCAATTGACGTGTCCTACACGTCGTGTGCAAAATTTTCCAATCCAATGGATTTTTCATTTATATCATGCCAACATGTGGAATAACATGTGAACGATTTTAATGTTTAGATAAAACACTTTAAGGATTTACAACGCGATATATATGAGTTAAACTTATTTGAGAATTATTTTTAACTTCGGCCCGACGTTTCGGTTGCTTTGCAGCAGCTTTGCAAAAATAATTTTGCAAATAAGTTTAACTCATATATATCGCGTTTTAAACTGTTAAAGTTTTTTACTTTAAATGTGTGTTACTACTAATGGCGTAAAATACAGACAGATTTTAATGTTTTGAATTGCAAGTAGTTAAGTAGAATAAAATAATTATTAATTTAAAAAGAAAGCTTGTATCAATAAGAAATCATTATTTACGCTACGTTGTGTAATACTACTGGCGTAAAATACAGACAGATTTTAATGTTTTGAATTGCAAGTAGTTAAGTAGAATAAAATCATTATTAATTTAAAAAGAAAGGTTGTATTAATAAGAAATCATTATTTACGCTAACATAAAACATGGTCTTTAAATTAATGACGATTTAAGTCAGAAATTGGATGGCTTTCAATCAACTTTTACGGCCCTTTTATTTTATGTGATACAAGGGAAGCGGAATTTTATAAGCAAGGGGTTATTTTTATTTCTTTAATGTGGTAAAAGCTATTAAAATACCCATTACTTTGGGTGACTGATCACATAACGCTTGAAGCTGGAATATTTATTTTATTACGAGAGTCGCGTTGGTGCAGTTGTGTAAGCTCAAATTCCAATATCCACTTAGGACTTTTAACTTTTTTATGCTATTTCGTCATTAAAATAGCACTTGATTTATATTCGGCAATTTGAATTCACGTTGTGTTATCAAAATAATAAAGTCTAACTGTCTATCTATCACAAACTATCAAGAAAGAAACGACAGGCCGTAGGTAAAATAATTTCAAAATATGTTTTAGTATATATCGCGTTTTAAACCGTTTTTTTAAGAGTACATTGATGAAGATAACCCTGGCGGATGATGGCGGATGAACGTGAATTTAGAAGTATAGCGGTAATTTACTGATTGTCAAAGATTGCTAACTATACTTAACTTTATGTAGGGGATACTGAAGTTAAATGTTAAAGCTTAAAGGGTTGTTATCAAAATTTAAAAAAATACGTTTCATTTCGACAGTCAGCTTGAAAGCTATTGATTTTAATTTTTGTGATAATATTAATATTATCCATCCGACAAACTTTTCATCTCAGAGATGCTACTTATGAACATTGTTTTTATAGCAGCTCTGCGATATTTCAGATAAATGAGGCCGCTAGAGGCAGAGTAGCCTAACTGGAATTTTTTTGACTTAACTTAGTTATATTTATGTGGTTTAAAAATGTTAATCTAGAAGAGCTCAGTGAACGAAAATTGTAAACATAATTCTTACACGAATAATAGTACTAATTCAATTTCGCCTAAGTTAATTGTGCATTTTTATTTTTTATTTTCCTTCGAATTGAAAATGATGTTTTTTGTTATTAGGTCACTCTGCGTCTAGCAGCCTCAAATATTATAGCGTTTCAGATCAAATAACTAAATATGGAACAAATAATAAGATTCTATAAGCAAACCGGAAGGTTTGAAGAGGACGCAGTGAGAGTTAGATAACCCAGAATCCTGTAGGAAGGAAATGAGGGAATGAAGAATGGAATAAGATATACTGACTGTCCAGATAATGTGGACTGATCACCCGTCTTTCTACTAGGGTCCAGAATAGAAAATAATATTAATAGCGTTTCAGAATGATAACAGCCAAGTGTTGCTTATGTTTACAAATACAACATGTGATTTTTTTTTGTTCACAAAAACTAATATACAATAAAAAAAATGTTTTTAAACAGTCATAACGATTAAAAATAGTCCCACTTATGTTGGACTTGGAAATCTATTAGAAATCTAAATAGATTATTAATTTACGTAATACCATGTGGAAAATAATAAATGTTTTTTTAATGATTTTATTAAAATTAAATTTACTTAACACATGTATACTTCTACGTGAACATTTCTGACCCCATTGTGTCCTAATCCGAGTGTAATTGAACACATCTGTGACCAATTAACATCACACGATTCGACGCTTCTCCTCGGGCGCATTGATTGCTTTCACACATAGACGGATTTTAATTAAAAAATCATTCAACTACGTTAAGCTTAACATTTAGGCATAACATAGAGATCCAGTGCTCTAATTAGTGTTACCGATCCCGCCGTATGATATGTTTTTATTTAAATAAAACACTTTAACGGCTTAAAACACGATATATATTAGTTAAACTTATTTGAAGTGAGTCTCCCTGTGACCACGGCTGCTACAAGACATCTGAAACATCGGGTCGTATTTAAAATACTTTTCAAATAAGTTTAACCAATATATATCGCGTTTCAAATCGTTAAAGTTTTTTATTTAAATGGGTACTACTCGCTTAAACTACAGACAGTATATATTTTTAACTTGTTTTTAAATAGGATTTGATATCAACTTGACAGCCTAATAATATTTTTATGTAATACCTCATATAACATCTAAATAAGATGTGCCATCATATTTTTGTTTTTGGATATTCGGAAATCCACAGACTGAGATCGAAACGCGATTAAATTTGACGCCTATTTATCTGTGGCCAGTGGTGCACGACGAAATTACTATATTCCTACCACCTGTTTAACATTCAGATTTCAAAGGCTAAATGTTTCAGAAACTTTATTGTTTAGAAACATGTTGTAGCCAATGGGGATCGAAACCCACGACCCATTGATTATTAGCCATTATATATTGCTACCATTACACTAATAAAAAGAGATTATAAAAAATACTGCTTGTTGTTTTTACAACAAAGCAGTCCCAATTTTAAAGAAAACCTTATAATAAAATCCTTCTTTAGGTATCTTTCATAATATTATGCTATCATGAATTTAAATTCGGTTTAAATCTGTCGTCTTAGAATACGAAATTTAAGAAAAACATTGACTATTTTTGTACGCTACATAACGAGTGATTATATTTTTATCCTTACCAAAATTTTTACTAAACTAATTAATATTTCAGTTAGCGGTAGGTGAAGTAGAGAATTAAGCTTCTTCAGATAAGTATAAATAAGAATAGAAGTTCTATTGTTTCCTTACTGTACACAAACATTATTATCTTTAATTAATCACATTAAATGTATATATTAAATATTAATTCAAACATAATATGAAAACTACATCCAAAAAATCAAAAATAAGCTTCATGCATGAATATATAATATCATCCTCCACATTTTTCTAATAAATTTCATTTCATTCTTTAAATTAAATTAAGTTATTTATAAATTAAATTTCATTCTTTAAATTAAATTAAGTTATTTATAAATTAAATTTCATTCTTTAAATTAAATTAAGTTATTTATAAATTAAATTTCATTCTTTAAATTAAATTAAGTTATTTATAAATTAAATTTCATTCTTTAAATTAAATTAAGTTATTTATAAATTAAACTTGTGTTTTGTGTTGTTTTAATGCTATTTTACCTATATTCCGGCTATTAATGTGGATAGTAAAAAAAATGAATTCCCTACATATACAATCCTAGCTGAACATAAATTTTGATTTTAAAAATGACAATGTTTCCAGCCAGTCTTCAAGCAGATTTTCTTTATCTGTGGTTCATATTACAATACTATGTTTGTTACAGATGACGAATTTGGCGAGAAGTCCGTTTCGGTGCTGTTAGATGGTGAAGAATCAGAGCTTATATTCATTGATCACCCGAGCACGGAGATGTCGGTGAGAAAATAACTTAACTTGGCTTGCACGAATAATTTAATTCTTGATAAGTTTGCTATATGAAGTATTAATAGCGAATTAGTGACATTGTAAGTATTTTTTGTTTGAACCGTAGTAAGAAAATGTGATTTAAAAAACCAACAAAAAACAATTGAAGTTAAAAATTCCCAACAATTACCGGATGTACAAACGCAAAATAGGAAGACAGCGCGTCTTGTTTACATGACTACGGCTAAGGTGTTTCCTTTTTCGGTTCTTACCTGTCCATCTCTATCACAAAAAGAAACACAAAAAACTTATCTAAATAAAACACTTTAACGGTTTAAAACGCGATATATTAACACAACGTTAGTGTATTATTTAAATGTGTACTACTCGCGTAAACTATGGACAGTACAAAAAACTTAGTTTACGGGGAAGAATACAAACGAAGATTTATTTTTTCAAAAATAATAATAATTTGCTTTTCAATCTTTATAGCAAAATTTAAGTAATTCAGTTAAACATTTAAATAAAACAATTGCATTACTTTTTTCTACCTTCGATCCGACGTTTCACATCTAATTAAGTAACTGATATAATACTAATTTGAAACCGTTAAAAGAGCTTAATTTAAATGTAACAATAGTTATATATAGTTAATTAACCGTATGATTTATAATCAAGTGTTAAGCCTGATTAATTGAATACAAACTCCAAATTTACCGACTGAATTATTAATCAGAACTAAATCAAACCTGTCTCAAATAGATATTCACAATACATTAACTATTCAATGTTACCTTTATTATTATTTCGTGTATCGCGACTCATCTACAGAACCCAACTGAGCGTAAAGGTTTATCAGCGTTTGACGTTTCATTCCAATTTGATTCACGATCAAACAATATTTTAGTGAGGTATAGCTTTGCCTGCGACGTCCCTTGGTCTTAGTGTTTATTTAACTTACTCCACTTGCTACACTGAGTAGTTCGACTGTAGAAGAAGAGAATTCTACTATTTTTCGAAAACTCGAATGTGCACAATGTCACAGGGAAATTCTAAGTATAGAACAATAAATCAAAGAAACTTGAAGCACGTTTGTATAACCACCACAAAATTTATGATGACAACCGGAGCTGACGACTTAACGTGCTCTTTGATATAATTGTATCGTTTAACTGACATCAAATAACCTCAATTTAATTAATAACATTAAGATAAATACAAGGTTTGTTACTTTAGACGAAATAGCTGTGGGACCGACCGTACTTTTCATGTATTAAAGTGGGGGGTGCTTTATTTTGTTGTAAATATATTTGTGAAATAAACAGCTTTATTATTATTAGATTTAATATTGACCAATACTAAGAACACAAATTAAAAGTAAAATTGGTACTAAAAATATGTGTGATCTTTGTGTCTTATTTAAAATACAAACTATTTTGTTAAGATTTTATTATAAACTACCCGCGTGATGAATAGTAATAATGTATATATTTTATTAATAAGTTTCTCATATAAGTGATTCTTGTAATCTTAGTGGGAAATAAATGTCTTTAAACCGAACTATTTTGCAAAAGTGATTTTAAAGTTTGTAGTTTACGCGAGTAGAACACAGTTAAATAAAACACTTTAACGGTTTAAAACGCGAAATATATTAGTTAAATTTATTTACAAATTATTTTAACTACAATACGGCGTTTCGGAAGCTTTGCACTAGCCGTGGTCTCTCCGTCTATCCGTTTTATTTTTTTACAGGAATGACTTATGTGCCAGTATTATTTATGTATATTCGTGTATCATAGAGTATCATAGCGTGTTTATTATCCAGGTGGAAAACTGCTTATCAACCTATGAGCCTCACGCTTGCGTTGTGGTATACTCTGTGGTAGCCAAGAGTTCTTTTACCAGAGCTGCTGAACTTCTAGCATATCTCGCTAGAGAACAATTCACGTGTGACAGAACCGTGGTTTTGGTGGGAAACAAAGCAGATCTCGCGCGGGCTAGACAAGTCACAACTAATGGTAAGATATACGTAAATTACTTATTTATTATAGCTTTATTTAAAACATACCATAAGAGAAAAAGAAAATATAAAAGCAAAAAATATTAGGAATAACTTGATCGCTTAGCAGCGATCTTTTCTAGACAACCAGTGCAGGAGAAAAGAAAAAGATTTACAAAGTGAGAGGTGTAGGAAATAGTAAATAAAAAGCAAAGGTACGTCGTAAAAGAATATACAGTAAGAGAGAAATTAAGTTAGGAGTAAATACATGAGTTAATATTATGGTAATTTAGTTCTCTCTCATATGAGACACATTAAACTAAATTTTTCTATTTATTTCTATTTTTATCAAAGACTACTAGCTGTGTCGGCGACTTTGTCCGCGAGAATCGTTATTTCGGGCATCCAATTTCGTTTTACAAACCCATTCACCTTTATAAACTGAAGCTGTTACCCACGACGTCCATCGCGTCACTTCCCGTTGTTCTTGCAACATAATCATAATAAAAATAATAAAAGATAGACATATAGCGTCGCAGTCTTTTTCAGATCATTTAAAGAAAAACCGTTTTTGTAGCGTACGCCTCGGAAACTGATAATGATGAATAATTTTCCTAATTTATGTCCCATTTCTCGCTCTTTTCGTATCACACATGATGATTTATAGCCTTCCTCGATAAATGTTCTAACCAACACAAAAATAATTTTTCAATTCGAACCCGTAGTTGCTGAGATTAGCGCGTTCAAACAAACAAACTGTTCAGCTTTATATATTAGTATAAGATCGCTGTTTTTTTTTAAAGTAATAACTTAGTATAATGCCCGCAAGATGCCTACCCGTTATCCCGTAAAGATATCGACGGCTGATAAACATTAATAAGCTTTACTTAAGTTTAAGTTATCACTTCTGTTCAGGTCCTTTTATATTTTGATTGATTGATTGATTAAAAAACACAATCAAAGAGACGCTTTACGTCATTAAAAACATTACTTAAAGATATCTTGTATGATTACTTCACTTATTATAATCAATCGATTTTAAATTGAATAAATAAATACAAATACTGTCTGTAGTTTACGCGAGTAGTACACATTTAAATAAAACACTTTAACGGTTTAAAACGCGATATATTAGTTAAACTTATTTGGGAATGATTTTAACTTCGGCCCGACGTTTCGGATGCATTGCAGCAGCCGTGGTCACGGTGTGACTAGTTCATCCCCAAATAAGTTTAACTAATATATCGCGTTTTAAACCGTTAAAGTGTTTTATTTAAATAAAAAAATACATGCAAGAAATATCGTCATCTACAGCCGGTTCGATTGTTATACATATTGCACTCTCATGTTGGTACTTAAGATATTGTGTGATTCATACTTTTGTTATTTTTGGTTTGTTCTCTTTCAATACCCGACTAACGCACCCCCTTCTAGCAACGTGAGAAGGGTGAAAATATAAAAAACTTGTTTTCTCACAAGCCAATTTGTGGAAAACTATAAATGTTCAGAGCATAGATGACGCTTTACGAGATTTTAACTCCTATGTACTGCCAGTCTAAGTGGCACTTCATCCTTTACAACCGGATATACGAGGAGTTAGTTCCTCGTTCCTCTAATTAGAGCCAAGCGTTAGTACTTTAGCTGGTAAGCGTAGGTTTGTTGCCATTTACAAAGCCAGACGTGGAAGTAATTAATTTGTTTTTTTTTTGATAATGCGAGTGGGTTTGAATCCCGGGGAAAGATGAAAATGTAAAAACTAATATTTTTAGATGTTATAGCACATGATGGCACTATATAATTAAAAATCAATTATTATTTGAAAAATTTACGACTCTACAACGATTTTCACACATTCACAGAGCAACAGCACGGAAAGCTGTTAGTGCCGGTTCAAGACCTGCCCGGGTACATTTTTTCAATTTATAATTTAAGATGATAACTTGTTAGGCCGGTGTAGGTACCCATTGACTAAATCTTATAATTAAACAGACATATAAAAATGTCCCTTCTATATTGTGCTTCTGGTAAATAAGTTTTAACCAAAAAATAGAACCACTATAATCACCACTATGTAGTAATGACAGATATTGCGCTCAGTGTTAGGAAGTATCAATTATTTTTAATTGTGGTCATAGTGGCTCAGCGGCGAGACCTCCAAGAATCGAATCCCGGAAAAAATAAACGAAATGTCTGAGAATATTTCACAATGTTTTTCTGTCGATGCTGTGTTTACGTTAAACACAGCATACAGTACAAAATAAATAGTTACTTGTGAATGGTTCTGTACTAGTTAATTACAGTATCCAATAACTTATCGAAAACGAAATAAATGGATTTAATATGTTTTAATCAAATGATGTGTTTGATTGATGTGGTTGCCCCGATATAACGATATTATTTTTTTTGTAAATTGTAACAAGAATAATTCCACATGTATATATAAAAACTACTGTGTTTTCCCTTTTCTATACGAATAAGATGATGACATTTTGAATACCTTTACATATCTATAGCTTGAAATAAAACTTTTATGATTAAATAGATATTATTTATAAGATTCACAACAAATTCTTGAGATTCCTAAAAGTTTTACCACTTACATGGTTTTACCTTAAATAACTATTACTTTAACAATATAATAACGTAAAGGCATTGTATACCTGTTATAATAAATAAATAGTATAAGTAATGTTCATGGTGTAATTTGAAGTCTTATTAAAGAAATATATTACTTTTGCATAATTTCAGTCAATTTAAGTTGGCAAAAAAGTGATCATTCATATTGTATAAAATAAAAAACTTTCAAGGGCTTAAAACAACGGCCCGACATTTTGGATGCATTGCAGCAGCCTTGGTAACTTGGTTTGGGGTAGTAGTCCCTTACAAATAACTTGTTTTAAACAGACAGTTTTTCATTAAGGCTTTCACGGCCATCGTTCAGCATATCATTGTTTTTCGGGCTGTTCGGCCGATGTGAGCGAGAAGAGGTTCTCGACGTTTCGCCATCACGTGTGGACGGCATCATCAGGAGATGTTAACTCCTCGATTGCTCGAAGAATTTATAATTCTTCCTGATGATGCCGTCCATACGTGATGGCGAAACGTCGAGAACCTCTTCTCGCTCACATCGGCCGAACAGCCCGAAAGACAATGACAGACAGTTTTTCATTCGTATTTTTTTTTCAGAGGGCAAGGCCCTAGCGACATCGCGTGATTGCAAATTTATAGAAACGTCTTCTGGTATTCAACATAACGTTGATGAGTTACTCGTCGGAATTTTGAAGCAGATTCGTCTCAAAGAAAGCAGAGAAAAGAAACAGGCTAAGAAACTTGGGAAGCAGGTAAGCATCACAATGAGCAGCACAACAAAGCAGCACAATTTACTACTGTAAATGTAAAACCCGGGGTAATGCACTGAAGCGGCATTGTGGGTCTTTTATTTGAAAACTTTCACTACGCAAGAGACATCTCAGTGACACATTAATGAGTTCAATGCGTTCCTTGTAATCGACAGGTCGTAGCATCGGTTTTCACCTGGTGAAAAATGTATTTGAAGTAAATAAATATTGGTTTTGAAAATATGCTGAAACGGTTGAAAAAATCTGATGATTTAGTAGATAAAAGTGATTTTGACGACGTTGGTGTCATGGTAGCTATGCACGGCTAACAATCAAAGGGTAGTTCTAACAACAATTTCTAATTTTTAAATTTACAATTTCTCTAAAACATCGTCTGCAAATCTGGATATTAAACTGAATATAAAACACATCCTGTTTAGATGCTAAAGGCTGGGGTATTTTTACTTACCATCAAATGAACCGCACGTTTGTCTGTCCTTTTCTATCATTAAAAAAATATTCCGCCCTGGTCACGAACCTCAACTTCCTCGACAGATGGAGAAACCGTAGTGTTTCGATTTTAGTCTATAGATTACTAAATAAGCGAAGATAATCGACAGCTTATTTAGTTTGTGTATGTCTGTGGTAGTAATGTAATCGTCGAGTAAATTTCATTGTTGTCTGTGTCATTTAAAAAAGTTTAAAAGTCCTTGTTGAATAGTTAAACGTATTCTGCGCTTGATGGTTGGCGCGTCTGCCTATCAAAGTTAAATTGAATTATAGCCGTTAACTTTGTTAATATTTGCTAATGAGTTTACGCTCACCAGATATTAAGTTATCCTAACGTTAATTGGTTAACAAGACGAAGCTGCTATTTGAAAAGAATTTACAGTAAACGTACTTTACGGGACATGTTTGACGAAGGCATAATTAAAATCCTCTTCTTTTCCCAGGAGGCGAAACCATCGAAACTCGCCAGCTCCCGAACCCACATCTCTCTCAGCATTGCAAGGGAACTCCTCCAAAAGATATGTATTAACGATATCTCGAAATCTAAGTCTTGCGAAAACCTTCACGTCTTGTAATCTATTAGAGGCTCGTTACGAATTTATACAACTAAGAGTTCATGAATACTGAATTAACTTAGTGAAATAATCGTTTTTAACTTAAATTTAAATGTATTACAAGTCTATAATTTGAACGTGTTACTAAAACAAATGAAAGTCACATTCCAATATACAATGACTCATAAGAAACATTTTTAAAGTTTACGTCTTCTCTACTCTCTATTCTTCATATACGTCTTAGTTTGTTTTTAGATAATAAATAAATAATGACGAAGGATTCCGGACGTATATTTTATATTGTAGCTACAAATATAAAAAATATCCCTTCAATTCCTTTGCTTACATGAAATATTTCATTTATTTCTTTATCAATATAGCAAATAAACTAAGTTATATGTGAATATTTCAATTCATATCATTATTGGTATGAAGATGTGATGATGAGAAGTGATGATATATCATGATTTTTTGGTAATATTGTTCTAACGGCAATAGAACACGAGTGACAGATACATACAGCGTCTTATATATAGAGCGTTATTTAATCCTTTATCACGGAATTCTAAAAATGAATGTTATTTTACACTCCAATCCCTCAGAATGACAGGTAATATTTTCTTTTTAAAAATTCATTTACATTTTTATGCTGGATAACTTCAAAAATCCCAACTCACTTTCCGATCCTAACTTCGTCTAGACGGGATAATAGTCATTGTTTATTAAATAAAGCTTTGTCTTATACCTTTATGATTCCATTCACATGTATTAATATTTCATCCTTTGTCTGCCTTTTATAGTTCTTAAAGTATATTTATAGCTACGGTCTAAAAGGCTATATAAAACTCCCCTTGTCTCACACTAAACTGGTAATATATTTTGTGATCTAAAAGAGATCGAAACGACCATACCTTAGGCTGGTAAGATCTAATAATCGTTATTTGCACATAAACGTTGATATCTACATTATGCATTTATCCGACCTTCGTTGTCTATTTATACATAGGATACATTTCATATCTACTTTACATAGTATATAAATATATATTAAGGTAGTTAATCTTGTAGTTAGTACTAATAATTCTTCGCTGCATCCTTCTTTTAATTGTCTGTACGTGTTTTTCAAGTTCAATACGGAAATATTTATCTATATAAATTAGAAATACGAATGTCAGATTACATATGAGGCTAATAGAGGCAGAGTGGCCTAATAACAAAAACTAAATAAAAAGGAAAATTAAAAACGCGCAATTAACTTAGGCTAACATGAATTTGTACTATTATTTGTGTTAACAATTTTCGGCCACTGTGTTCTTGTAGATTAACATTTTGAAACTATGAAAATATAAATAACTCGAGTAATAAAATTGCAGTTAGGCTACTCTGCCTCTAGCGGCCTCATATGTACATTCGATTTCTATGTACATACATGACTATGAAAAACATACTGTTTTCCCCAATCGACCAATTAATCAAATACTCGCCATGTTAGGTTTTTAGAGCTTTGTTATACGGCGTAGACCGTTTCAGTTTTCGTAGCAAGTAAAACATTTTTGCTACGTCATCTAATGGTGTAAATCTAAGTGCAAAACAAGCGTGTATTGTTAGCGAAATTCACTTTGTCATATTTGCTTCAAAGTACATTGTACTGTGCACTGCTGGAACAGTTCACTAATTAGATGATAGACAAATATAACAGAGTAATCTTGTTACTAACAACAATAAAAGACATTAAAATTAAACGATAATGGGGATTTGAAAGTCTGTTTTGATTGATAAAAATTTAAATTAGTTTTTATTTTATATAGTGCCACCATATAGAATAGAAATGCTATTTTTTTATCTATATTTATTTACAATAAAAAGTTTATTCTGAAACAACAAACAAACTACAGTTAAACATTATAATTAAAACTTATTCTATATATAACCAATATAGTTAGCCTCTGAAAACCACTCAGCCACGTTGGGACTAATGTCCCAACACTGATATTCTGTGCCCCTTCAGAGGCCGAGTTAACGCAAGCGCAGTTGTTTGACATTTTATTATGAAAAATATTAAATGATTACTTGTTTAAAATGTGACACGGGCGGGTATCAAAGCCAGAACTGTTACCTTATTTAATTGCTTAACCGACTGAGCTACTTGTTCAGACTGTCGTGTTAATAGAATTTATTTATCAGTTCTCGCGAAACATACACATTCGGTACCTCAACTTGTAAAGCAACAACTAGATAGTGGGTTCGAGTGCTGAATGTGAATAAGTTTTTAAAATGTAATTTGAAACATTACAAGCGATAAAACATCTCATGTAGCACACATTTTTTACATTTAATGAAATGTACGTGTATTTATCTTCCAGTTGATTTGATAATAAATAATAATAAGTGAACTAAGCTGATATTTGTGTTATCAATACGAGTAAACATTTTCTATGTTTATTCCTGTATTTTCGTTCAATAGTTCAAAAGCGGTCGAACACAAAGAGACTAATGTAATTGCTTTGGAAGAATACGTGTATTATTTCCTTTAAATAATTTCTTTATATTTAATGTTAATAAATGTATAGAGTAGAAATTATATGTAAATATCAGTATTAAATAACAGATACGCTTTCTTCGGGCCATATACTAGAAATTACTTAGTTGTTGAAATAATTGAATTTCAGAAATAGAAACCCAGTTTCAACGAGAATGTCTGTAACATCGAGGTCTTACTATCCTCTTAAATTGTTAAGTTAAAATAAAACTGTAGTACTCTAAATACTGTCTGTAGTTTACGCCAGAAGTACACATTTAAATAAAACACTTTAACGGCTTAAAACGTAATATATGTTAGTTAAACTTATTAGAAAATTATTTTCACTAGAACCCGACGTTTCGGATACTTTGCAGCAGCCGAGGGGACGGGGAGACTCACTTCAAATAAGTTAATATCGCTTTTGGAACAGTTACAGTGTTTTATTTAAATGTGTATTACTTGCGTAAATTATAGACAGTATTTAATCTATTTTAAATTGAAAAAATCGATGACACGAGCCGGCCTTGGACCGGCTACCACAGCATTCTGCTGTAACCAATTCAACATCGACCTTCTTCAACCACTTTGATTCAAACTTGTTATCGATTTTTTCAATCGAAACATTTTTAATTTATGTAATGGCATCTTGTGTAATCATTAAAAATAATATAAAATGTAACGGTTACATTTATGTATTCTTACCTCTCTTTCTTTCGAGTTATGTTTTTATCATAATATATAAGAGACTTTCTTTTGGTATTTCTTATACTTTGTAAACATTTGTTATGTTATCTACCGTTGTCTCTTTTCTTTACTATTTAAATAACGCTTAGACTTAGATTATTGTACTTAAATTATAATGTTATTGTTAGATTCGCTATTTTTCTAAACAAAATAAACTTTCTACGACTTTTATATTAACGTGTAAGTTAGTTGTAATTGCGAATTTATTGTAGGGTTTAGCACAAGACTCTAATGGGACAAAATTATATAGAAAAAAAAAACAATACAAAAATTCTTAAGTTGCATTCAAACTAGAGTTATTTTCTGTATACTAAGCAGCATTTGTTAACAAATATAGGTCGACATGAATCTTAATTCGATGTTATAGAGCCGCCTTTTTTCCATCCATGAAATGAATATTTATTTTTAATTTAACTTAACTGCGACCCGATACTTCGAACACTTTGCAGCATTTGTTAAATTAGAAATATGGTACATTTCACGTTTTAAACAGTTAAAAGTGATTTATTTTACTAAGAAATTGCTTAAGTTAAAGAATGGTATATAATGTATTTATGCCGTCAGTACAAAGTCTCCTGTCGACGCACCTTTAGATTTCACCGGGACACGATGGCGGCAAAATGTATACAGCTCTATAGAGAATTACTCACTTGGCGTCTGTCCGTTTGCGCAACCAATTTTGCGACGTGATCAACTCAGACGCGTACACAGAATGTTAGGTAACTGCATCGATCATTAGTGATCGATGGGTAACTGTGCTATCTCTACTGTAAAATAGGGATAGTTTGTAATCGTATCTCTTACTATCACTTATCGTAGGAGAATGAGCTTTAATGGTAGTATTGTTTTTTTCCTAACAAACATATTTACGAGTAGTATCGTATTTAATTTAAACGACCATGACTATCGATGAGCCAAAAGAACGCGTTTAAACACGTCTAAAATAGTTTTATTTAACGTGATCTATAGCTATATCTGTTAACTATTCCTCCATTTTAATTATTACATTTCTTGTAATTTTGTATACCATTAGAAATAAGTATGTCTACTGTTAAGTAAATGTTGTAATTTCAATGTTTCATGATATTGGTCTGATTTATTTTTCAGCTTCGTTTCAAACTTTTAGAATTCTTATCTTTCGAATTATTTTATGTACCTTCAACTGAAGATGGCGTTGTCATACCGATATCATGAAATTACTACTTAAACATTCAAAGTCTGATTCTTCTTAGCGATAGTTTATAATATTGTTAAACTGTCTTTATAAGTATTAGGAAAAAATTAAATAATCTTAAACATGACAAAATCAAAAATTAATCTTATTTACTTTACGTATACTTTCTCGTTGTTTTATTTTATTCTTCGAAGCCTTTTCTTATAAAGACAGAGTAGATATGTTAATATTTTTGGTGTTTAAAATCGGAACTATTTATGTGACTCATATTATATTAGTTGAAAATAAATGGATTATTCCAATAAGATTGTTTTATTTTACCTCAGTGAAGGCAAAAGCGAAAAGGGAAGATACAAAAAAATCTATATTGATTTTATACATCTTTTTAATTTGAATATTCCCATTAAAACAACTCGTCTTAGCGAGTTTTTGTTGTCCTATAAAACTGTATAGCAACGAATTGTAATAATATAAAGTTTCACTGTCTTCTATCTTTTGCTCACTTCATTCTTAACTGAGTAGAAAGACGCAAATAGTACAGATTTATAAAAAACTTTAACGGTTAGACGGAGAGGCTCTCCT